CAACAATAAATAATCCCTCCCCCAACTGGATATGATGTCATAAGGATTTTTATGACATCATACCTTAGGACATCATAGAAAGTTAAAATGACGTCATACAAATTTGGTTAACCTAATGACATATACCGAATTTAGGAATTTTTTATTAACCCAATTAGTATTTTCTAATTAACCTAATTATTCCCCGAGGGGGGGTCCGTGCCCGCCAACCAAATTTATCAAACCCAATAACAATAGACCCGGAACCTCCAGTTGTGACTAAAATTATACATTACAAAACTATAATTTTTTTACCACAAACAATTCATTATTACTCCACCCCTACTAACTGTTAACCAGCATATTAGTAAAACTTTTTAACTTAAAATTGGTAATCTTATTATTCTCAGGGAGGGCGAAAAACCCAAATTGTTCCTCTGGGAAAATTCCCTCCTGGCCCCAGTAGGCGACCAGCCGAAGCCTGAGAGTAAATAACATGTTTACCAATTAAGTAAGGGTGAGAGGGATGGGTTGCTCGTCTGCAAATCCAAAATGGCTGCCAACATGTGGCAGCTTGAGGCTAAATAGCCTCCTGAAATCTTGCTCAAAATCTCGCGAGATTTGAAGTCTCGCGAGACCCAGGAGCGAGACCTCCATTTGATTGGCTAAGCAGGCCGGCAAGGGCGGGCCTTCCGGTCTGCTCAGCCAATCGTGTGTCGGTGCCCTTATATGGGGCCGTCGCAACAGAAGGCCCCTCCCGACATGTCGGGGGGGGGTGTCTTTCACACTACTGAACCTGCAACCAAACCTGCCCATTTCAATTTAACCCACTTCACGTTCACATTAATAATTAGATCAATTCAAAATGGATTCTCCATGTGATCATGTCACAGGGATGATGTCATCACAGGGAACCGAATCCGATCGGCAATGTGTTTGCACTTGCGTTGAAGCAAAACATTTTAAAAGGTGCAGCAAATGACTTGATTTGGAAGAACTGGCTTATCCAGGTTTAGCGCTCTCCCCTCTCCCCACAAACCGCGCTGGAGAAATTTGGCCCCAGTGTGAACAAGAGCCCTTTAAAGCGGTTTGAACCAGTTTGAAAACCATTTTATTATGTACTGTGAATGAGGCCCAAGTCTGGATCCAGCCCAGTGACCAAGATGAAGCTACATACTGGGAGAGCTAATGAAAAGCATAGATAATTGAGTACACAGAACAGAGATCTAATGCATTTTTTAAAGCTGGATAAGACAAAAATTGTGCCTTGGAACCTTATTTCATCTTGGAGAACATTAGATTTGTAGTTGCCCTTCTCAGCAAAGGAAGGAAAGAAACTCTGAAACTTAGCTACCTTGATATATTTTCCAGTGAGGAAGTATAGGATTCTTATAAACTTTGTTGATGTTTTCTTTCGGACTGTAGGTCCTAGTGTTCCTCACCATTGGCTGTGGTGGGTAGGAATGCTCAGAGTTATAGTCCAACGATATCTGAAAAGTCATACTTGATGTAAATGTTGTACTTTCGCACATTTCATGTTATTTCTCAGTATAGCTACATCTAGAAAATATTTCATTTAAACAGTAGCCATTCATTAAAATCTGTATGACCTAAAATAATATTTCATGGCAGTTTTAAAAACATGTTGACAGAATCTTTTAATTAGGGTTTGAAGCTATATTGTATTTTATATCTTGTAGAAAGAATGGAGTTTGCCATTGAATACCAGAGCTATTCAGATAAATTAAAGTTTGGTGGGGTTTTTGTTTGTTTGTTTGTTTTTACCCAAAGGTGTTTATATTGGAATAGCTAGGAATATTAAGAGCATAAGGAGGAACATATTTCAGCTGATTTACTGGTTGCTGTCAGTTTGATGTGAAGAGCAACTATTTAAGACAATGTTAACATATCTTGTCTCGCTTAATAACTGTTATTTTCTAACTATACTGGTGGACAACTAACTTTCAAAGAAAATACAGTCCTCTTGAAATGATTAAAACAGAAAATGAAATAAAGGTTAGTGTGTGAGCCTAGTTTTGCAATTTCAGTAGGATATTATATTGTGACATTGGACAAGGCAATCT